TTCCCAGTAGAGTCCCTTTAAAACTCATGCCAGCGAAGCTTAGGATCTCTAAATCCCAGGAAGGCAATGCCTGAGAAAACGTACGCACTACATTCCACCCCTTGTATGCTGCAATCGTCACATCAGGAATCCCGAAACCCTGAGAATCCCTGCGTATTCCCTATATAACCTCTATATACCCTTTACGTAATGCCCATTATCCCTATATTATCCCTCTCTCCTCCAATATAAGCGCCAAGTTTGAGAAACGGCCTGCGTGTTGGGTTCCAAGTAACAGATTGATGCTCCAGCGGGCCCCGGAAGCCTGCCATTGCCTTCCCATCCTTGGCTTTGGTGGGGGGGGTCCTTTAAAGCGGGACCTAGAATAAGAATTAACGCGTTTGGGAATCTATGCCCTATGCTGGGATCCCTTATTTTATGCAAGCTAGCTGGTTGAGCTAGCTGCAGAAAAAATATGGATTTTTCTCCTTCGGGTTTAGATACAGTCCCCCTTCAGTAGATAGAATATGGGGTATATAGGGATCTTATTGCAATATACCCAAAGCCATATTCCATGTACTTAAGGGGGACTACACCCGTAAAAATAAGGCATTCTGCTCAACATGTCCCAAGGCTCCAAGGTGACAGGTGTACGTAGTTGTGCTCCCGAAATCCGGCCCTGAACGCAGCTGTTTTTCTTAAAGCCTACCTAGAAAGCCTAGTTACCCATAATAATGGGGTACTTTAATCCAAAGTAGTAGGAAATTAGGGCAAAGTTGCCTATAATTATGGGTAACTGGTGTTCTAGGTACTTGTTCCTGAGCAACAGTAGTCCTCCTTGGCCATGATACATAGAATTGTATAGAACCCTACACACTAAACCCTAGACCCCTTAGTAGGACAATGCCAGCTGGGTGCCTGTGGAAATCAAACCAGCCGAAGTCGAAAGCGCAAAGAGTCCGTTCGCGCTCTCGGTCCAGAAAGCCTTGAGCGGGGATGCAACATAAAATATCATAAGATACTGTAATAGACTATAATATATTATAATGGCCTATAACAGACTGTAATATACTGTTAGGAAGAAAGCAAACGCCAAATCAGGATGAAAACGCTTACGTCCAGCGTGACTGCTCTGTGCCAGACTCGACAAGATACATCCGGGCGTTTTTCATTACATTCAAACGAGTGACTCTCATGGACCAGGGCCGCACAGTCCCAGCGCTTGAAGACACAAGAACCCATTGGATGTCGTTCAAATGTGTAGGAAGCATCCATGTTCACGTCTGAAACACCTGGAAAGGAGCTGTCCTTCTGACATCAACAGGCCAACTTTGGAATCCCGGGAAGCATATCACTATAAATATCTACCTTATTTGCTTGGCTAACCCCTACCAAAGTATCTAAATTGTTGGGTCTGAAAGCTTCGTACTCTCTCTGCTACCAGCATCACTAAGTCAGGCGACGAATCCAGGCGCTGTAGGATGATTCCACGCTGGCATCCGAGTTGTCTGACTCAAATCCACGGTGCGCCCCGCGCTCTTGATGAACAGCTGAGAGGATGGCGTGATTGACTACCTTACGGTGCATGCTGCAACCACTAGGCTGAAGAGCCTGTAACTCCTTTCCAGAGGAAGCGTGCAGATTCTGTAAAAAAACAAGGCATGTTGCCACATCCCATCCAATGCAGCCCTGTCGCATTGGCCGACACAAACATGCAGCGGCGCCGCAGCTTCTCTCGCACCATCTCGGCGAGAGCGTGCTTTGCCAAGAAAACAATGTCATCATCAACCTGCCCACTTCCAACCGAAAACCCCTAAACCCGTGAACCTGTCTCACAGCGTCCCAAGTCCCACAAAGCCCCAAGACAAGGACGGTCCGAAGGCGGCAGCCATGAGAATTAGGGTTTAGGGTCTAGGTTTGGGGTTTAGGGTCCCAGGAAGAGGGGGAGAATAACATTTTGACACATGAGCTATCGTCTAAACTCCTAGTATCCCCCTTAAGACACCCTATTCTATGAGGTTAAGGTTTAGGGTCTAAACTCATAGTATCCCGCTTAATACACCCTAAAAAATACGGTTTGGGGTTTGGCGTCTAAACTCCCAAGATCCCCCGTAACAACCCTATCACACTCCCGCATATTATCTCCTCTTTAAGGAGTTTAGACTGTAGCTCATATAATCCTTATAGAACCCCGTATACAGCAGTATCCATTTTCTTTTCCATTTGATTCTCCATTATAGGGCCCTAAACCCTAATACAATATAGCATATTATAACCCATTATAGTAGTTTCCATTTCATTTTCCATTTTCTTTTCCATTTGATTCTCCATTATTGGAGCACTGCAGGGCTTGCCTTCAGGTAGACAGTGTTGGTTTCATTCAGAGATTGGTACAATGCCGGGATGCGGTGGCGAGCGTTCCATGGAGACTCTGGGCGTGGGTCTGACCAGAAGTGTTCCGTGTAATCGCGAATTTCGATGACACCTGGAATATGAGAATAGATTCTCTGCATCTGCTCAACCATCATCTGTGCCAAGGAATCCGGCCCTTGGCGGGAGTCTGCAGGTAAGACTTGCTACAACAACTGACCGTCGTCTCGCATGGCTCACACTGCGGACAAGCCTCGGATGAGGGCAAAGATGATGCAGTCAAGAATTCCCTGGTGGGCTTTCAGGTCGCGCCGCAGATAAGGGAGCAAAGCGCGCATGCGTGAGCCCCGCCCAGTGAAGACCACAGCGACAACCCGAGTGCCGGAAAGATCCTCGTAAGAGTCCACATACTCGTAGCTGCATCGAGGTGCCAGTGGATCATCAGGCTTCGATGGTTGCAGGTCTGTGTAAACTTCCTCCCGCCTTCGCCAGCCAGGCTCCTGGCGCAGTGGCAAAACAAGGTGGGAGCACTTGTGGCCCTTCTTACTTATCCCCTCCCCCTGATATGCCCCCCCGCCCCCCCCCCCAAATATTAAAAAGAGTGGCTGATTGAATATAATGGCACAGGATCAAAACCCAAACCTTCAACCCTAAACCCTAAACCCTAAACCCTACCGACATCTGCACCCCAAGGGGCCTGCTCTTCGGATGCCAGGTTCGAGTCGGGGGAGTTCACCGCCAGGGAAAAGGCCCTCTGCCACTGCAGGACCTGTAGATAGGGCAGCTACAGCAGCACTAGTAGTAATAGCTGTAATAATTATAATTGTAGCAATAATAATGCTAGCCGCAGTAGTAATAGTAGTAGTAGTACTAGTAGTAGTAGTAGTAGTAGTAGTAGCAGTAGCAGTAGCAGTAGTAGTAGAATAGTCGTAGTAGCAGCAGGAGCAGTAATAGTGGTACAGTACCATCATCTTGTTCCCAAATTTGCAGGGCTCCTTGTGTGGGTGTCGCTTCCACGGGTTTACAAATCTGGTCCTCATTCGGCAACAACCATACCCTGGCAGCTGGCTAGGCGACTGCCTGTGCAAAAAGCTCCAGCTTTTGTACATGGCGGAGTCTCATAAATCTAGTATCCCAAACCCCATAAACCCTCTTCTAACCCCAGTTTCCATGTCATTGTCCAATTTCTTTTCCATTTGATTCTCCGCTCTTGGGGATACAAAACCATTCCAATGTCTGTTCCCCATCTGTCAGACACGACCTCTTGGCTGAAACAAGCTGACTACAGTTTACGGTTTAGGGTTGAGCCTCATCCCGCGTCCAGGATGTGAAGGAATTGCACACAAAACAGTCCACGCAAACTGACCTCGGAGTGAAGCCAGGGGATCCTAAACCCTAAACCCTAACTCAACCTGGCAAGATCAGAGCTTGGTTGTGTCGCGCCACTTCTGCCAGTGGTTGAAGTCTGGCTTCGTGGCCCCGAGCCTGCAACTAGGGTTCAAGGTTTAGACTCCAATATACTGGGGTTCTATATTGGGATAATGGAAAATAAAATGGAAACTACTATAGTATATTGAGGTTATAAGTGGTTGTAAAGTTTAGGGTCTAGGGATTTAGGGTTTAAGGTCTAGGGTTTACGGTTATAGGGTTTAGGGAGCTGCAAGATTTTTCAGACACCACCAGCACCCCAATCTTACACTCTGCTTCAAAGCGGCCTGCGACCCACTTTCTGCAAGAAGCTCATGCATTCCTCCTGGAGCTCCTGCATGACAAGGAGCCGCTTGTAATATCTCCATGAATATCACCACTACTATTGTTCTCATTGCTAATATCTTCCTATTTAGACCACGATTATCGTTTTTATGTAGTCGTACTTCTATTATGGTCTTACTGCCAGTCTATTTTGGGATCATATAACTTGACCAAATCAGGAGCCCTGCAAGCAGCCCGCAAGCCTGCGGCCCAGGCCTCAGCTGAAAGCTACTTTAGGAGGCTTCAAGGATGGAAGGTTTAGGGGTTTATGCATTTAGGGCTTTGGGGTTTAGGATTTAGGGCTTAGAGTTTAGGATTTAGGGCTTGGGGTTTGGGCTCTAGGAACTGCAAAGGGGACTTTGCATAGGATATCATGTTATTATGGCGGGCTTATTTTAGGATCTGCCCGGGCGGAGGTACTGCAAGATACTGCAAGGGGAATGCATGGGACTATGTAGGGGGGAAGCTGTAGGAACTGTTGATATCGCTTGCCCCTTTACATAACCCTATAATATACGTAGTAGCTTCCTTTTTCTTTTTCACTATCCCTATATTATACCCCTAGATAACCCCTTATAACAAGATAGTTTCCATTTTCTTTTCCATTATCCCAATATGCCCTAAACCCTAAACCCTAAACCCATGTTTTCTTCCGAGCCACTCGCCCAATGCCAGGAGCTGGCAGGCCTCCCGGAGTGGTCCGCCGCTTGAGTTTCGTCGAAAATCAATAGCAACCTGAGAAACAAGCGCTACACTTAGGGTTTAGGGTTTAGGGTTTAGGGATCAATAGCAGCCTGAGAAACAAGCGCTACACCTCATGCTGACAGCAACAAAGAGTCCCATTTTGGGCTAGACACCAGGACGAAAAGCTGACACTTCGTACAGGGCTCGAGGTCTGGACTTCTTCCAACCTGCCAGAAAACTTTGCCAAGTTTAGGGTTTAGGGTTTAGGGTTCTGACCCTAGTTTCATGTAGTCTTCACAACGCAACTCGACACCCAAATTTGACAGGTTGCAACTGTCCCGCGAACATACTGATGCAAGCTCCTTTCATGACATGAGCTACAATCTAAACTCCTAGTATCCCCCTTCATAACCCCTATAATATCCCCCCCATAGAATCCCCTATATTAACCCCCCTAAACAATTTTAGACTATAGCTCACATCTGGATCAGCCCGAAGAAGGCGCCTGGGTTGCGGAAGTCGCCTCGTGACAGAACTGAGGGATGGAGGTTCACAGGTTCTGCGAGTTTTTTGCTGAGAATGCGAGCTGGCTTTAAGCAAAGCGGCACAAGAGCACATGAGAAATTATAGTCTAAACTCCTAGTGCCCTCAAATACTGCCCCCATACTATCCCCTATAGAACCCCCCTGTACGGAGTTTAGACCCTAAACCCTAAGCCCTACATGCTATATGATCCCCTATGTAACCCCTTTTAAGGAGTTTAGACTACATCTCACATGCAGCACGCAGTCTTTTCCTGGCATCTCCAGTTGCACAGTGGCAAGGTGCCAGCGGCCAAACCGCCGGGAGTTCCGGGGCCGCCTGACGTCAGCAGGGGCCTGGCAAGCTATCAGAATTATAGTAGCGCACGTAGTAGAATAACATAATATTTTGCTGTTTTGAGAACAGCATATCCCTATCCAACATAAGTATGTTCGATATTGTCGCAAAGACTCTGCGAAATTCTGTTCGGCAGACTGTTGCAACGGTGCTGCAGAGACCGGCCTGGAACCGTTTCAGTTCAGTGTGCTTCTTCTGCCCAGGGTTTCGGAGCTATTTGCCCGGAAGCAGTTGGCACCTACAGCTCAAGTTCGCCTCAAGTTCTGGCTAATGTTCAAACACTGAAAATGTCGCATCACTCTGCAACCAAGGAGCTATGCCCGGCTGTACATGTGGGCATTCAGCTGCTTTGGCATCAGTAGCGATAGGCTTCGCGGCCCTTACGGGCAGAGGAACGCTCAGGACGCTCCGGAGAACGTTCCTCAGCCAAGGTCGCAGCCATGAGGCGTCCACTGATGGGGACCTTGGCTGCGCGAAGCCGCTCCAGGAGTGGAGCCGCCAACTCCTCTCGGAGGCCTTTCTGGACCAAGGCGGCCAGCAAGCTCTCCAAGCAATCTTGTTCAATGGAAACTCCATGGTTCTTCAGACCCTTGCCGCCATTCAGCCCATAGACCTCCTCCACGACCTGGACCGCCTCCCTCATCTGGCCCATTCGGACCAGGCCTGAGACCAGCGAGGTGCAGGCACGCGTGTCTGCACTCTGACCTGCTTGGCGCATGTCGCGGAAGACCTGCAAAGCCTTAGCTGGGGATCCGTTCATCAAGCAGGCGCCCATCAGGCACGACCAGACCTGGCAGTTGGGAACGAAGTTGCCCCGCTTCGGCAGGGAGGACATTGCGGCAAACGCCTTGTCCAACTGCTTTTGGCGGCTGTAAAACTTCACAAGGATGCCAAGAGTGAAGTTGGTCGGGACAATCCTGTGGTCCTCCATGCTGTGCAGGATCTGGTCCACTAAGTCCGACCTCTTGTGCTTGGTGCAGCCATCCAAGATGGTGTTGTAGACGATCGCATCATGGTAAACACCACTCTCTTGCATGCCGCGCAGGACTTCCATGGCTTTGTCAAGGTCGCCCCTAACAGAATAGCCCTTGACAATGGTCGAGTGCGTGATGCCATCCGGCCTGCAACCTTCTGCATCCATTGCCTGTACTATCTCCAGCACATCATCCATGTTGCCCACACGTGCCTGTGCATCGACAAAGGCATTGCAGGCCGCCGTGTTCATCTTCACGCCTTTGCGTCGCATGTCATGCCAAAGCTCCATTGCTCGCTGAGACTGGCCAGTGTTTGTGAAGCCCTTGACCAGAATCGAGCAGAGCACCGCATTGGGCTTCAAGTTGCTTTTCTCCTGAGTCAGGCTAGCTTCTCTGAATCGCTCTGAGCACGCAAGAACAAAGAAATGTGTGCAGTACCGTCAAATGAGCTCCGATCGAACAGTTGCACGGCTTCGTCGACTTGTCCATTGCAGACCAGGGCATCCAGCATGCATCCATAGACAATGTCATTGGGCTCCAGCCCCCGCTGTCCCTGCATCTCCTCAGGAAAAAGCTCAACAAAATGCTCAGCGTTCTATGCCAAGCCTCAACTTGCTGGTAGTTGTTGGTAGGGCATCCTGGAATGGAACTTAAGGGTGGTGACTGGGGATTCTATGAAGTATAGCCCCCCCTTAAGTAGATAGAATATGGGGTACATGGGGATCTTATTATAACATACCCAAAGCCATATCCTATCTACTTAAGGGGGACTATAGCCTACAAGGACTGCTATAGGGATCCATCCCGCCCTGCCCTAGGAACCACCAGCACATCAACCTTACTGACTCGGGCCAGCGGCATTCCAATAGTGCCAGCACTTCTCCTGGGCTGCTGTTAAGTTACCATAATGGGTATATATAGGGTATATAGGGCATATGGGGTGTATGGGGCAATAGGGTAGATAGGGTTTAGGGTTACCATAATGAGTATATATGGTAAATAAGAGGGCTTCCACCAATAAAGAAACTTCAATTAAGTTCCTTGACAGAAACCCAGTCTCAGGGCACTTCAAATTTGCGTAGGCTTTGATGATGGACCCGTAGGTGGGAACTGATGGCCGCAAGTTGGACTGCTCCTTGGAGAAGCAAAACTGGCATCATGTCTCTCTATCTGTGCTCCACACTCCCATCACTTACCTTTGGTTTGGTAGGAATGAGGGAATGGATCCTTATAGTAGTCCCTATATAACCAATTAAAGCAGTTTCTATTTTCCTTTCGATTCCTTCATTCCCAGCTAACCCTAGGTAAACTAGCCAAGCTGAGTTGCGAATTTGCTGAGGAGGCTCTCAAGTCGCCTGTGCACGATCTTAGGCTGATAAGCTTCAACATTGCGCTTGCTCAGTGATAGACACTCACACCATTGCTGTAAGCCGCCTGAACTCCTTGTGGCGAATGTATGTCTCCAGCACCTTGATGGACACAGTGCGCAAGCATTTGAGACTCTTGCTTCTGCCCTTTCAGCCTGTTTAGCTTGATGGATAACTTACTGGTTCTCAGTAGAAGAAAGGAATATAGTAGACTGCTAGTACATACGGATTACATTGCCATATTTCCTACTAAGAACCAGTAAACTGCTGGCTGGGAGCTGTATTCATCAGAATCTCATCAGAGCAAGGATCAATGGAGGAGCGGTCCAAGAAGTTCAAGCAACGACTGACCTTGCCAGCGAAGGTTGCTGATCCAAGCTAGGTGGGCGAAGGTGTAGGGTTTAGGGGTACCTTTTTTGGGCATCCCTAGGTAGAATGTTGGGGTCCCCCGATTTTGGGAAACTACCAGGTAGACACATTAAGAAACGCTACTGCTATCTGCTACGGTAGTTAAAAGGTACTATAGGACAGGTTACTTGTATCTGGTCATGACCGCGGTTCTTCCCTACCTGGAATCCAAGCCTGATTTATGATTCGTTCCAACAGCCTCTGCCAGAGTTTCGGAGGATCAACAATTTCTATCTTTCCCCAACATGAATTCAATGTAGAGCAGTGGAAATGCTTGAGAGGGTAGCCCCATATTACCCCTACAAACCCTGTTTCCATGCAGGTTTTCTTAGTTATGGCAAGTATATTCCCTTTTTCCCTCCTTACATAGCAAAACGCGTAGTATGAATATCAACAACATTTATAAATAATGCCAACAATGATACTACTACAAATTTAAAAAAAGCCAGGGGGGGAAGAAGTCTGAGCAGCTGACATCCTTCTGTCCTTTCGCCCTCTTCAGGGCCTTGAGCATGATGGAAACCTGATCGGGCCAGGCACCGAGTAGCGCAGCAATGCAAGCAACTAGGTAAGAATAACCACAATGACTGGGTTGCTCTCGAGGGACCTTTCTCAAATTACTATATAAGAAGGGAACCGCATTTTTTACTGTTTACCCAGAGTATGGTAACTCAAACAAGTTTTTTGACAGTAAGCCAGATGATGGCTGTGCTTACAGTACTCTAAGCTAAGCATGTGAACCACAGCAGCTGAAAGCAAACTTTAGCGGTGGATGTCCAAGACACTGTGTAGTGGTCTGGCGGTACATTCATTTGTTCCTTAGAATGACAAGGTTGTGGCACGGAGCCCGCGCGACAGTCCTCATGCGCATGCTACCACTTGGAGATTCATGAGGCGAGGTAACTGCAAGAATGCCCATGATCACTGGAAGCCGTTGCATAATAAGCGCTATCTCCCTCAACACCCAAAAAGGTTCATGTCATGAACCTCCAGAAAGGGATGCCAGCAAGGTACCATCTTGGCAATTGTGTCCCAAGCCTCCTCGAAGCTGCCATTATTCACGGCCGTGTTGAGGATGCCTTCAGATTTTAGATTCAACGCCCGCATGGCGTAAGCAGAAAGAGGTTTGGGATGTAGGGGGTTCCGGGCCAACCCTAAATCGCGTGGGGACAGGCAACGTATACCAAATCTCACTTCCATGACAGGTTCCGATGGCTTGGCAGCCCCAGAGCAATCCTAACTTGATCAGTAAACTGGGTGGCTGTTAAGGCACTTAATTCAAGTTAAGTACTATAGTGGAACAACCAGAACTTTAAGGTAACTTAATTTCAGTTCCTTAACAGTAGCCCAGTAAATCTGCAGAAGGGGGCACGACCTCACTGCAAGGATAAGGCAAGCGTCCTGTTTCCAAGGCTAAACTCCAAGTATCCCCCTTAATGACCCCTATAATACTCTACTATATAGAGAACTTTAAGGAGTTTAGACTATCATAGCTCTTTCGTTCCCCGCCAGGCTGCAGTTGTAGGACACATCGTTGGGCTCAAACCCTGCCGCCGTCATCTCAGACAGGAGGTCCTGACAGCAGCGCAACCTGGATAAAAGTGACAAGAATCACGATCTATTCTTCATGCTGCTACTAAAAGTAGTAGTAGTAGTAGTAGTAGTGGTGGTAGTAGTGGTAGTAGTAGTAGTAGTAGTAATAGTAGTAGTAGTAGTAGTAATAGTCGTAGTAGTAGTAG